CTTTTATCAATTTTATGCCAGACAGTTTGTTCTTTTACGACATAGGTCTGCCATGTCCCTGCATGAAAACATTATTGTGGTGATGCATATGGAATACCACATTAAGTGCCTTGATTGGGTCTTAAGTCTACTCAGGCTAATAAGATATGCTTAGGGTTCACAACTTGATCTTTTGACACCGAAATTTTACCTGAAGAAGGTGGGGAAGGGATAACCCAATCTCCAGTGGAAAGACCCTTAACTGCAGAGCCAACAGTATGCACTTCTCCAACCCCTTCATATCCCCCAACTGCAGGCATTGGTGGTCGGACAGGATAAACTCCTGCGGTACAATAGATTTGGGACAACTATTGTGAAATAATGTTCCTTTATGAGAAAGATTAATCTTGAAAATGAAAGAAAACAATGGCTAAAGAAGGTTTTTCCATTATGAGGTCGCGTATCGAAACTTGAAATTATGTATTTAGTCTTTAGCTAGGACTGAGGCATAATTGATTGATTGAAAGAAAGAAAGAAACACCTTTAGTGCAACGAGGCATCGTTTGAAGAAAAGTAAGTTGCACAAATAAAAGCAAAATTTTGCCTCTCCTCACCCCTCCCCTCGTCATTTTAAAAGTGGATAAATTTTGAAACAAATAGAACTACCGAAACCTACTTCTGTCCAAATACAGTTTGAGCCTTGGGAGCAAGTTGAGATCTTAGAAACATATATTATTCTCTTTTAGAACAATGCACCGAAGTGCATAATATCCAATGTATTAGGTGGCATATATTTCAAAGTAACGAGAACAACATGATTTCTACTACTCCCTCCATTTCAATTTATATGGTACTTTGACTTGGCATAGAGTTTAAGAAAGAAAGAAAGAAAATCTTTTGGAACTTGTAGTCTTAAGGGGAAAATGATTTGTGAAACCTTTTGGAACTTGTGGTCTTAAGGGGAAAATGGTTTGTGACTATAAAAGCATAGGATTAAGGGGAAAATGGTTTGTGACTATAAAAGCATAGGATTAAGGGGAAAATGGTAAGCTTATATTAAATTTCCTAATTATAGAAAAGTGCCATTCTTTTTGAACGGATTAATAGAAAATATTGGCACACAAATTGGAATGGAGGAAGTATAGGACAATACATTGGGATATTTGTATACAAGGGACAACAGTGGATATAACTTCGTATTTGGAGTCAAACTCCAACGGGACACAAACACAAGTAGAACATTACTCGAAAACTTGTTAAGACCATTAGGAATATAGTCTGAAGAAGAAAAAGACATGCTTCCAAAACAGAAATATCCTACAATTGGAAAAAATCGAAATTGCGAACAGAAAGCTAAGAAATTCAAAAAATCGAACCTTCAATTCTATTAATATCAGAAGGATTGATCGGAGCCGCAAGCATTCTAACACACACGTCATTCTCTTTAATTTCCACCGGCGGAAGCTCCGTTACTCTGCAATACACACACACACACAAACATAAACATATAAGGTTACAAATAGTAGTAGTAAATAGAAGAGAACTTAGCTAATTACCGAGTGACAATATCAGGAGAGCCGTGTTGATCGTAGACAACGGCCTTAGAAGGCGGCGATGTGGCGGCGGAATAAGGTCGCACGGTGGAGGTAAGAGTACGAGAACGGAGGAGGAATTGCGACTGTGGTGACCATGCTAAAACTCCGCGTACGAGGGCTTTGAGGGATACGATCCTCGCCGTCGCCATTTACGGGACATTACAAAATGAGCTGCTATTTGACTTCGTATGAGCTGCTAAACGACGCCGTTATTAAGTCCGCCGAACCCACTCGACTTTGCTATGACAAAAGTTTTAATAGGACGGCTTAGACTTAGAGCATAAATTTAATCTATTCCTAAGAAAATAAGTAATAGCTTCCTGTAATTTAAAAGAAATAGTAGTATTAATTAGTACTCCATCCATTTAAAAAAGATTGACACAATTATTATTTGGAAAGTCTATGAAGTTGTTCTTTGACCACATTTTTATTACTATAATTTATAATACTTTTTATATAATTTTCAAAAATATAAATTTTATTTTTAAAAATTTAAAGAATTTATGTCCAAATTTACAATCAAAATTAAGTACTTCGTACTTTGAATTATACCAATCTTTCTAAAACGGAGGGGTAGTTGAGACTTGAGAGAGGGATACCACACTCTTGCTCCCTTTGCATCGTGTTCAATGACCACAAAATGGTGAAATCCCAAAGTTTGTTAAATTGGGATGGGCTAAAAAATTTGGATTACTCCACTAGTCCACCCACAATGCATTTCCAATGCACTTGTCACAAATAACAAGTAATAAGTGGGTATATTCATTTTTTGGGCTACAATTAAAGTTATACTCGCGTTAAGTGACTAATAAATACCTTTGAGTGGTGGCATTAAGTGGCTAATAAACGCCTTTAAGTGGTGGCATTAAGTGATTAACAAGTACTCCCTAGGGTCTACTTTAAGTGATTTTTTGCTCTTTTCACACATATTAAGGAATTCACCTTTTAACATTAATTAATAGTGAAATTGACCATATTAACTTTAACTTGCTCATTAAAAATATAACAAATATTCCTAGCCCTAGGCTCTTTACTCCAAGAACAACTTTGACAATAAGAAATTAATTTCTTCTTGATATCGGAAAAAATTAAATATTATGGATCACAAAAAAATGTCAAAAAATCATTTAAAATGAACCGGAGGAAGTACCTTTAAGTGGTGGCATTAAGTGTCTAATAAGTGCCTTTAAGTGATGCCTATAAATGACAGAAAAAGTATATAAATATCCAATTTAAACTCAAACTTACCAACTTCTAGCCCAAAACTAGACACTTACCAAAAAGAAATTTTTACATTCCTATGCCATATAGTAAACTATATTACCCTCCATGCCTAACTTTTAATATAATTACCTTCTATATAACTAATTACCATTTATGTACCATTTTAGGATTTTAATGGTATTAATTAGTCTCCTAATTTTACTCAACCATATATTCCTACTCCCCCAAGTTTCTCTCTCCAAATTCCCACGATTTCCTCTTCAAACACCCACGTTTCCTCTTCTAAAACCAGCGAAAATCTGTAACTCCTCCACCATTGACAACCATTAAAAAGCTTTGAAACTTTGAATTCGAATTTGGGTTTTCAAAAGACATTGTTTATTTGAATTGGATGTTGTTGCAAAGAATTGAGAATTCTCTCCCACGTCTCTCTCTATCTCGCAATCCCAAATTTCAGTAATATAAGAGAAAAGGAAAAAAGAGCAGCAATTCCACCATTGACAACCATTAAAAAGCTTTAAAACTTTGAATTCAAATTTGGGTTTTCAAAAATCATTATTTATTTGGATTGGGTATTGTTGTAAATAATTGGGAATATAGTTTGAAGTTTATATCTCAATTTTGAGGGGTTTTGGTGAAGATTAGACTTGGTTTTGGCTGGATTTCAGATTGAAACTCGAAGAAGAAGACATGACATACATTATATTGCAAATATTGTAGATAAATTGTAGAAAAATTATAGACTATTATTTCTGAACTTTGTGTTTTTGTGTTAAAAGTTTTGATGGGAGCTTGTTATTTCACTTCGTCTGTTTTGGAGCTAACTTGTGCAGAGGAGAAGATATTTTTTAAGTTATATATATTGCTATACCTTTAAATTCAAGAAAGTATGGCTGTATTGTATTTAAAGAGGCATGAATTTATAGAATTGGTTGAATGTGAGGAATGAGTCAAATAAGACTCACAATGGCTTGTTTTCTACATTTAATCTACAACAAAACTACATATCATTTGAAAAATTAATATGAAAATACAGAATTTCAATATTTCTACAAATTATCTACAAACTGTTTATAACATAATTTATCTTTATTTTCATGCATGTTCGTCGGGAACACTAAAGTTAATTGATATGCCAATATCTCCCGTTATAGAGAAATACAACTTATCTACAATTTTCTACAACTTTCACACATTATTTTCACCCAGTTAAATATAACTACAATAACATAAAATTTGAGCTTTGTGTTTTTGTGTTAAAAGTTTTGATGGGAGCTTGTTATTCCACTTCGTCTGTTTTGGAGCTAACTTGTGCAGAGGAGAAGATATTTTTTAAGTTATATATATTGCTATACCTTTAAATTCAAGAAAGTATGGTTGTATTGTATTTAAAGAGACGTGAATTTGTAGAATATGTTGAATGTGAGGAATGAGTCAAATAAGACTCATAATGGCTTGTTTTCTACATTTATTCTACAATAAAACTACATATCATTTGAAAAATTAATATGAAAATACAGAATTTCAATGTTTCTACAAATTATCTACAAAATTTTTACAAAATATTCATAACAAAATTTATCTTTATTTTCATGCATGTTCGTTTGGAACACTAAAGTTACTTGATATGCCAACATCTCCCGTTATAGAGGAATACAACTTATCTACAATTTTCTACAACTTTCCCACATTATTTCAACCTAGTGAAATACAACTACAATAACATAAAACTTACATACAAATTTTATACAAAAGTTTTACAATATGTCTTTTGTATATTTTGTATCTGATTTATACATAGTAAAAATAATTTTCATACAACTAATTATATATTATACAACTTATCTACAAATTATCTACACTTTTCGTACATTATTTCTACTAAGTTATATACAACTACAATATAATACTACTTACATATAATTTTTATACAATGTTGTTCAACTTTCATACAATATGTAAATGAATAAAAGAAAAATAAATAAACAACAGTCTATAATTTTTCTACAATTTATGCAGTATAATGTATGTCATGTCTTCTTCTTCTTCTTCTTCTTCTTCTTCTTCTTCGAGTTTCAATCCGAAATTCAGCCAAAACCAAGTCTAATCTTCACCAAAACCCCTCAAAATTGAGATATAAACTCCAAACCATATTCCCAGTTATTTTCAACAACACCCAATCCAAACAAATAATGATTTTTGAAAACCCAAATTTGAATTTAAAGCATCAAAGCTTTTTAATGGCTGTCAATGGTGAAATTGCTGCTCTCTTTTCCTTTGCTTTGTATTACTGAAATTTGGACATAATTGCGTTTGTTGCAGAAGAATTGTAGAAGATTTAGTCATTTTTGATTTGTGAAATAAGAAAAAAGGTTGAAACAGAGTGTATCGCAAAAACAGAGTATGGAAAATTTGAAACGAATCTGATGATAATTATGAATATGCGTGATTTGCATTGTAGAAGATCTGGAAGAATATTTAATTCCCCAATTTTAGCGCGCCTAAATAAGGAATCCTACAGCTACAATGATTCCTTATTTAATGCAGTGTCTATATTTTGTAGAAATACTATTAGCATGAAGGGTAATATGCAAACTATGAACATATTTGGTAATATAATTTTCTATATGGTATAGGAACGAAAATTTCCCTACCAAAAATAGTCGAAAATTAGAGATACACGCATAGAAGGATTCTTCCATCTGAGAATCACATTAAAGATCTTCTTGCCTCTTTTTAAGTGTATCAATTTCACAGAGGCCTATATTATGTAAATCACGACCTTCTCTCCCAAAAAATTCTCAGAAGGAGCTTCAAATTTCACTGAAAAATCGATTAATTTCATTGTAGAAACAACAATCTCTTTTCGCGATTTCTCTATAGATACATCTTTGATGAATGATCTATGAACTACAGTCAAAATAAATCAAGGAACTAGTGAGTTTTGACCTAATTCCAGCTACTTCAATGGCAAATTTATCAATTTTTATTCAATATCGTGGCCGATGGAATGTTGACAATAGTTTTGCGGATTGCAATGCCGATGTTGTAATACTTACTCCAAATATAAGTTTTGAAGATTTTGTATACGTGATTTCGAAACAACTTGTGATAGATACTTCATTGAATGTTATTGAAATCAAATGCACTGTCCAGAACGGTTCTCCACCCATAGTGATACATAACAATATGTGTGTATGCGTATATCTTGAGCTGAAAACAAAGCTCGGAATTTACAATGTATCCCATTTGCCTAGTATGCATCATCAACAACTATGATTGGTGTTTTAAGTCTTCAATCCTAAAAACAACAAAACTTTTCAAGGTCAGAAATTTCAGTAAACTGCACCCATGCCCGCTGAAAGACAGATCTTATGCACAACGTCAAGCTACTGCAAAACTCATAGACAGTCTTATGATAGACAAGTATAAAAACCCAAAAACAATATACACTCCTAATGACATAATTGGAAACATGAACAAGTAGTATGGTCTTCAAATGACATATATGCAAGCGTGGTGATCGAAGCAATATGCAGTTCAACTACTGAGAGGAAACTTGAGCGAATCATATGAAAAACTACCAAGATACTTTTATATGCTAGTTTATATCCGTCTATAAAATTGTGATGATCCAAAAGGTCATCTCTTGTTTTAGAATTCAAATTTGTGTTTTGAGGCCTTAAAAACCTTCTTTTGTTTCACCTCGATTTGCATGCGCGGTCCGGGCGCATTTCTGAAAGCTTTTATAAGAAATTTAAGAAAAAGATTGATTTTGACCTTTAAAAATAATTAAAGTTGACTTCGGTCAATATTTTCGGCAAGCGTACCCGAACTCATGATTAGACGGCCCCGTAGGATCCGTAGTAAAATATAAAACTTGGGCGTATGCCCGGAATCAAATTCTGAGGTCCCTAGCCCGAGAAAAGAATTTTTAAAGAAAATTATTTGTTGGAAAATATAAAGACTTTTGGAAATGAAATGGTGTGTGATCTTGATGGAATCAGGCCCATATTTTGGTTCTGGAGCCCAGTACAGGTTTAAAATAATAATTAAGTCGACTCTTTGAA